ACACATTATTTCGTGGAGGGAAAACCCACAAAATAATTAGTGCTTTATTTTAGTTCATTATTTCCAGGGTCTTTTCAAAGATAGATTTTTTTCCATCCCATCACTTTTGTTCTGCTTATAGAATTAGACAAAGCTGAAAGTTTTCCTTTTTATCCCACATTATCTCAAGTCCTTTTCATCCTCTTTATGAAGAAATTTATGGATTATGGTAGCAGAATTCAAAGATGTGGCTGTTTTATTCTGGATCAGTATGCAAAGGGATTTCGTAACACCTTTGAGACTGAGAAAAAGAAGTTGGCAGCCCAAACTTTCATGGAATTAGGTCTACTTCATCAAATGCATAGAGTGAAGTTACTAGGAACAGATCTTTATAATTATGAATGAGCAGGCTGTATGCATGAATACCCATAGAAATGCAAAATTTGTGAGTCTGTTGATGAGGTCACAAGTTCAGTTTTAACTATGGGATGGCTGTTGCAGGACAAAGCCAGGAGGAACGATGTTGCATAAAGCCAAGGTGAATAGATATTTATATGAATTGTGAAGGGAGTTATTGTAGTGTAGTGTGATACTGGCTGGGAACCAGAAGCTTTGTTTACAGAATTAAATTTCCTACAAGCTCTAATTTATGGAAAGAGGGGTAGTGGTATGGACTCGATGGACTGTCACCTTGTCGTGGTGAGGGGGCTTGCGCGTTCCAATGAACCTGTAGGCACAACAACTGGAGTCGTGCACTCCCAGGAGTGGCCGCGGGGGAGGTTCCAGACCAAGCACAGTCCGAAGACCCAAAGACCATCAACGGCGGAGCAGGCGGAGGATAACATGGCACATGTTACAACGGCTGCGAAGGCGGAAGAAGGCTGCAACAGACTGAGAAGCCACGGTCATTGTGTTAAACTACATCACCAGTGGAACCTCACTCTGTGAAGTCTGTGTGTTGATCAGTTGTGCACTGACCTCCACACATTAAAAAAAACCCACGCACAGGCGTCTTCCAAAGAAAACAAAAACCAAGCAACCAAAGTCCCATGGCGATCAGTGAGTGGCGACGGGGGCAGGACTGTGAAATCTGGAAGTCCCTAGTCACAGACTGGCACATGGGCGGTGGGTACGGACTCAGTCGTTCTACCTCAAGGTCCGAGGCAGTTGAGTAGTTCGGCAGCTGTATCCGCGACTGAGCAGCCCTATTGAGGACCCACTCTGCTCACCCCACATGGGGAGGGGGCTAGAAAAGGTGCCCTAAACATAGTCTGCCTCACTTATCCCTGACTGGACTGCCGCGTCCAGTGGGGTCACCACCCTGCGGCCAAAAAAGGAAAATGAACTTCGGTACGTGGAAAGTACGGACTCTGATGGACAACAGGGGCAGTGAACGCCCCGAACGCAGAACTGCCATCATTGCAAGGGAGCTGGGACGCTTCAACATCGACATAGCAGCCCTTCAGGAGACCCGGAGAGCAGGAGAGGGACAGCTGAAGGAAGAAAAAGGAGGCTACACCTTCTTCTGGAAGAGACTGCCCGAAAAAGACCAAAGAATGCACGGAGTTGGCTTTGCCATCAGGAATGATCTGGTGAAACATCTGTCCGAAGCACCCACTGGCATCAACAAACGACTCTCAACCCTCCGAATCGATCTTGCCAAAAACCAACGGGCAACCATCATAAGTGCCTATGCACCAACACTAGATGCTGACGAAGACATCAAGGAGAAATTCTACTGTCAGCTGGATACCGTCCTATCGGGATACCTAAGGAGGACAAAATCATCCTCCTGGGGGACTTCAATGCAAGAGTCGGGCGAGACTTCGACCTGTGGCCAGGGACCATCGGAAAAGACGGGGTTGGAAACAGCAACTCAAATGGCATCCTGCTTCTCACCAAATGTGCGGAGCACAACCTTGTCATCACCAACACGCTCTTCCGCCAGAAAAACAAGTTCAAGACATCATGGAAGCACCCCCGGTCAAAGCATTGGCACCTCTTAGACTATGTAATCACACGCGCCAGAGACCGCCGTGATGTGCTCCTCACAAGAGCCATGACAGGTGCTGATGACTGCTGGACTGACCACAGGCTAATTCGATCCTCGATGGCTCTCAAGATTGCCCCCAAGCGCAGACTCCAAGGAAGGAAGACAAGGCGCAAAATGAACACCCAAGCCCTTCAGGAGCCCTCCAGACGAGCCCATCTCCAAACAGCACTCAAGGACCATCTACCCACAGTACACCCCGAAAATGTTGAGGAACATTGGAACAAACTGAAGACCTCCATCATCCAAGCCTGCAAAAAAACTATTGGATACCAAGCCAAGAAACATCAAGACTGGTTTGATGAAAATGACATCGAGATCCAACAGCTAATTGACAAGAAAAGGAAAGCCTTCCAAGCATGGCAGAGAGACATCAACTGTGCTGCTAAGAAAAAGATCTATGCCAGTGCAAAAGCTGAGGTCCAAAGAAGGACAAGAGAACTCAAGAACATCTGGTGGACAAAGAAGGCTGAAGAAATCCAACACCTGGCAGATACCCATGATGCTCAGGGATTCTTCAAAGCCACAAAGGTCATCTATGGACCAAGAAACCATGGCATACAGCCTCTACGCTCATCAGATGGAACCAAACTCCTGAAGGACCAAAACTCAATTGCACTACCTTGGAAAGAACACTACCAAAGCCTCCTGAACCGCAGCTCCAATGTGGCCGAAGAGGTTCTCTCACAAATCCCGCAACAACAAACCAGGGATGAGCTTGCAGCACTGCCTAGTTTGGAAGAAGTCAGCAATGCCATCAGCCAACAAATAACAAAGCCAGCGGACCTGATGGGATCCCTGCTGAAATCTTTAAAGAGGGAGGACCTGAGCTGACACACCAACTCCACCAGCTCATAGAAAAAGTGTGGGTGACCGAGAAAATCCCAGCAGATTTCAAGGACGCCACCATCATCACCCTCTTCAAAAAAGGGGAAAGAACAGACTGCGGAAACTATCGAGGTATCTCCCTTCTAACCTCCGCTGGGAAAATTCTCGCAAGAATCCTTGCAAACCGCCTTCTGCCCCTCTCAGAAGACAGCCTCCCAGAATCCCAGAATGGCTTCCGCCCCTCCAGAGGAACCGTGGACATGATCTTCACTGCACAACAGCTCCAAGAAAAATGCAGGGAACAAAACCAACCTCTGTACATGGCATTCATCGACCTTGCAAAGGCATTCGACACAGTGAATCGCAGTGCTCTCTGGACCATCCTCCACAAAATCGGGTGCCCAAACAAATTTGTGAACATCCTGCGGCTCCTCCACGATGACATGATGGCAACAGTCTTGGACAGCAGTGGCTCCCAAAGTGACCCATTTAAGGTGGAATCAGGTGTCAAACAGGGATGTGTTATTGCCCCAACTCTATTCTCCATCTTCATCGCTATGATACTTCACCTTGTTGATGGGAAGCTTCCCACCGGAGTGGAAATAATCTATCGGACAGATGGCAAGCTATTCAACCTCAGCAGACTGAAAGCCAAAACCAAGGTTACAACAACAGCTGTTATAGAACTCCAGTATGCTGATGACAATGTCGTCTGTGCGCATTCAGAAGAAGATCTACAAGCCACTCTAAACACCTTCGCAGAAGCATACGAGAAGCTCGGCCTGTCACTGAACATTGAGAAAACCAAGGTGCTGTTCCAGCAGTCGCCAGCCAATCTCTCTCCAATGCCAGTAATACAGCTTAATGGTGTCACATTAGAAAATGTGGACCATTTCCGCTACCTTGGCAGCCACCTCTCCACCAAAGTCAACATCGACGCCGAAATACAACACCGCCTGAGCTCTGCAAGTGCAGCATTTTCCAGAATGAAGCAGAGAGTGTTTGAGGACCAGGACATCCGTAGGGATACCAAGGTGCTTGTTTATAAAGCTATTGTCCTCCCAACCCTGCTATATGCCTGTGAGACGTGGACTGTCTACAGACGTCACATGCAGCTCCTGGAACGTTTCCATCAGCGCTGCCTCCGGAAAATCCTGCAAATCTCTTGGGAAGACAAGCGGACAAATGTCAGCGTGCTGGAAGAAGCAAAGACCACCAGCATTGAAGCGATGGTCCTCCAACATCAACTCCGCTGGGCCGGCCACGTTGTCCGGATGCCTGACCACCGTCTCCCAAAGCAGTTGCTCTACTCGGAACTTAAGAACGGAAAACGGAACGTTGGTGGACAGGAAAAGAGATTTAAAGATGGGCTCAAATCCAACTTTAAAAACTCTGGCATAGACACTGAGAACTGGGAAGCCCTGGCCCTTGAGCGCTCCAGCTGGAGGTCAGCTGTGACCAGCAATGTTGCAGAATTTGAGGAGGCACGAGTGGAGGGTGAAAGAGAGAAACGTGCCAGGGAAGGCACGTCAAGCCAACTCCGGTCGAGACCGCCTTCCACCTGGAAACCAATGCCCTCACTGCGGAAGAAGATGCAGAGCAAGAATAGGGCTCCACAGCCACATACGGACCCACAAGGAAATCCATAATGGAAGACCATCTTACTCGTCCAACGAGGGATCGCCTAAGTAAGTAGTGGTATTTGATTTGGGGTTTTTTTTTTGTTTTTTGCTTTTGTTGTCATGTGCTTTCACATGACTTATGGTGATCATATTATGGGTTTTACTTGGAAAGTTTTATACAGAGGTTTTAATTTGCTCTCCTCAGAGGCCAAGAGAATATGACTTTCTCAAGGTCACCCAATGGGTTTCCATGCCTGAGTGGGTATTTGAACCCTGGTCTTCTGGAGTCCTATTCCATCACTGAAATCACTAAATATTGGTTCCATGCTGAGAGCTTCTTGCCCATATTTTCCCTTTGCCTGCATACTGGAAGAGTGTTTATTTCTCTGCAGCCTGATTGAAAAGAAGACAACTACTAAAAAAAGTTGAAGGCCAATGTGGGCTTATGGGCTCTCCATCCAAAATGGATTATCTCTGTGTATACACATTTATGCTTCCATTTTCTTTCCTTTCTCTCTCAGGTGATATTGGAGGTCAGATGGGCCTTTTTATTGGTGCTAGTATCCTCACAATTCTGGAAATATTTGACTATATCTATGAGGTAAGCTCCACTCCTTTCTCTACTATGGTGATTATCATATTGCAGTGGGTACTTTAGCGGAATGGAGAGTGTGAACTGGGTTCCTTTGCATTATCCAGCCCATCCCCTTCTCTCATTCCCTCTGCAACATGGCACTATGATTTCCTATTTTATATCCCATTTTATTACATCATTTTATATTATTAGACTTCAGCATCCACGGATTCTGAAATCAAAACCCAGTGAATACCAAGGGCCTATTGTATACTAAATCATAGTCTCATTCATCCTCTCCCTTCTGTATTGGTTTTCTGCCTCATTCATTCTGCATCCCAAACCCTCTCTCCCCATAACACAACCTTTTTATCTCTTACTGCAACTTGAAGGATTTGAGAGTATATTCCAACCAGGCATGTAGCCGGGGGGGGGGGGGGGGGGGCTTCCCCCCCCCCCCCCCAGAATTCTCATGGTGGTCTGCGAGAAGGCCTTACTGGTACATTATTTAAACTGTTATGTTTATTCATATCATGATCTGATCACCATGCTCAATATATCCCATATGCATGGGGGTATTGGGGTAACTATACAAAAGGTTTGCTAGGGTAAACCCTCTTTCACTCAGACTCACCCCCCCCCCCAACCCACCCCCCCCCCCCCCGAATCAAAATCCTGGCTACGGGCCTGATTCCAACCCTAAACCCACCCAGACCTGCTTCCCCCAAAGGATTCTCTGTCCCCTCGCTGCCTAAAGATAATGATAAAAAATGATGCATTATTTCAAGGGACACAGGTTTTCCTTCAAAAGAAAATATACATGCTCCTATTCATCACTCTAGAGCCTGGATCCTCTTTAAATCCAGTTGTGTGCCTCCTGCAGAATTTTGGGGTTTCTAGTTGAGTGAGGCCCAGGACCTGTCTTAAATGCCCTTTCCTAAACTACAAGTCCCAGAATACTATGGGAGGCAGCAACTGGATTTAAAGTGGATCCATGCTCTAATGTGATGAGGTCCATACACATCTTATTTACAAGTTGATCCATGCTTGTAAACTAGATGTACAGTTAATGTGTGATAGTTTGAAGGGAATATACTGTTCTCTTAAAGGTAAATTTGCACATTTGCAGGTTTTTGGTGGGGCGGGGGGCAGGTGACCTTTCTGGAGAAGTGAATTGGTTCCTCTTCATCTAGTGGGACTCGTTTGTCTACTTATTCTCTATATTTTCTGTTTCTTGTTTGCACTGCTTAAGTTGGAGTGATAATGCAACTATGTCAGGAATGTGCAAAGGAATCTTCTGGCCTGGTTCACTTTACATGGCGATCCAGAGGCTCCCTCTCTACTCCTGCGTTTGCACATCTTAGAAGTGAACACCTGGTTAACAGAGGCTGAAAGCAGACTGTGTAGGGACCCCAGGAGTTAAGTGCCCAAGAAATTGGCACATGATCATTCCTGAAGCTATGGCTTCTCCCTCTTATAATAGGCCCTGCCTGGTTCCCTTTGCTGTGTGCTAGTTCTGTCAGAGCTACTTAGCCAAGAATCTTGTTCAGTGCACTGGGACATCAGCACCTCAGTTCAGCAACTGCAAATCTAGAGAAAGACACAGGACTGTCTTTTCAGAAGACTTTTCGGGAGAGATTTGGGAGGCTTTCATTCACAGGCCTGATTCATGAGCTCATGTTCTCCCCCACATACATACTGGCAACCCTAACAGGCTCATTCTAGCAGTTTATTCCTCTTGTAAGCCAAACATGTTTTCAATATTCCTATTTACGCATCCCAAATTCAAGATTACTTTTCAGATCAGTTGTGTTTCAAAGGTTGACGTGATCAATGTAGCCATTGGATGCACTCTTTCTCAACCATAACATCCTTCATATTCAGTTACAACAATAGCAGTAGCAACAGCAACAACAACAACAACAACAACAATTTTGGTCCTGAGACCCATCAGTAAACAAACAGTCATTATAAATGTATTGTTGAAAGCTTTCAAGGCCGGAATCAACAGCCGGGTTGCTGTAAGTTTTTTGGGCTCTATGGCCATGTTCCAGAGGTATTTTCTCCTGACGTTTCACCTACATCTATGGCAGGCATCCTCAGAGGTTGTGAGGTCTGTTGGAAACTAATATTTGAGAACACAGAAATGCTGGACCACTCTAACAACTACCATGTCAGACTACAGAGAAGCCATTGAAATCCACAAGCCTGTGGACAATTTCAACAGAAAGAAAGAAACCATGAAAATGAACAAAATCTGGCTACCAGTATTTTAAAAAAACTCTAAAATCGTAACAGTGAAAAAAGAGCAACTTTCAAAAACAGGGAATCTCCAGACAAGAAACAATCAGGGACAGGTAATCACCTCTCCACAAAGGATTCCCCAAGGCAGTAAGAAACCACACCTTGAAAACCGCTAGGCTATTAAATGCTGATCAAGGTGGCCAATTGAAACATTCACGTCTACCTCCAACAGAGAGTATTTGATCCCACCCTGGACATTCCACAGATATATAAACCCAATTTTCCTAGTTTCCAACAGACCTCACAACATATGAAGATGCCTGCTATAGATGTAGATGAAACGTCAGGAGAGAATGCTTCTGGAACATGGCCATACAGCCCAAAAAACTTACAGCAATGCAGTTATTATAAATTCTCCCATCTAAGGAGAAGTTCATTGTCATGGTTTCAAGTAATATCCCTATTAGAAGTTAGTTGCTTTCTCAACCTTGTTGCCACTGCGAAGAATTTTGCCACTATGAGAGTCACCCTTGGCACTTGTCCTCGGTTACTGGAAAAATTAATTTGTCAGGCTTCAGAATCCCCCGCCAACATGGCAATGTATTCTGGATACTGTAAGCCAAAATACAGTCTTCAATTTCTCAGCTCTGACCCTGCTTATGCAGGCAGTCACATTGGTCTGCCTTTTCTCAGGTTACAGCCCACAAATGCTTGCTTTTGTATTTCAGGCTAGGGAAGCCCTACTGCACAAAATCTTTGCTTTTGTCTCCACAGTGTTCTCCCCTTCCTAAGCTTGGCTCCATCAGAGCTCCGGCCCTTCCACTGCTACCTGACATCTCATTTAGTTTAAACAACTCTGATGTGCACAGGAAATTAAGAAGGCCACATATTCAGAGCTCTTGCCCGTTCCAGAGAGTGTTGGTTTGACAGCAGGGCGATTTAAAATTACCGAAAGTGCCCTCCAATGAATAAATGATGTATTTTACTTTAAAAGGCAATTGTGATGATATAAGAAGGAACAAATTAAGGAGCTCTGTCTACAAAGTAGGAACTAATAATTTAAATTTTTCCTTCCAACCCCCGTGTGGAGGAACGGTTCGCCAAAGGAATGCTGGTCATGCTTGTGAACATGAACAAACTCATTAAAATGGCAGGGGATGCTTTCAACAAAATATGGGAAGGATGAAAATTAAAGGGACATAAGCCCCAAAGAGCCTCGATAATAATGGACCAGCTTACATTTGGCATGCTTGTGTCGCAATTGGGTTTAGCTAACAAATAATTACTGTGATTTGGATCTACAAAACAATATAAACTAATAAGGCAAAAAGTGAGTTGCCTGGACTTTATGTAAGACAAAGTGAAAGAATGATGGCCAATCTGGACATCATGGCTCTGTGATGGCCCTATATATGAAGAACACATAAATAGAGTGTTTTCAAAGTAGAAATGAATGTTCTCTATCCCTCCCTAACTTTCCTTCCTCTCCTATCCATAATTTTTAAATAATAGATCAAATTCCTCTGCCTTCTTTATGCATTGCTCTGGCCTCTGTTTGTACAACAATCTTGTTGTAACACGATAGTGATGCTGGTCACCACCACCACTACAGCTTGGGAAACTGTTGTTTCAAAGCTTTTATTCCCATACTTTTCTTACGATGATTGAAAAACAACCCATTGTCATTACTCACTGCAAGATTGTGAAAACAACACAGTAATCGTTACATTCCTTGTTACTATTCTAATACTGTTACTACCCTGAAAGCGAAAATAAGTCCGCCCTGATTCCCTTTGGGGAGATGGGGCGGAATATAAATAAAGTATTATTATTATTATTATTATTATTATTATTATTATTATATCCACAAAAATGGCAATAAAGCTTGCATAATTTTGTCAAAATATTATCTAAAAACTCATTTTCCAAGTAGTGTTTGAAAAGTAACTAGAAACTGTTACATGGCACACCAGTATAAAGAGCCTTCACTCTTACCCATAGTGATATTTTTTAAAATTTAGCTGTAAGGAAGAACTTGGCCACGGCGGTCTATGCCTTAGTTACACCTCGTTTGGATTATTGCAATGTACTCCACATGGGGCTGCCTTTGAAAACAGTCCTGAAGCTTCAATTAGTGCAAAGATCTGCAGCCAGACTGCTTACAGGGGCTGGTTGTAGTGAACACACGGCCCCCCTCTTAAAGCAGCTGCCGATTTGCTTACAGGCCTAATTCAAAGTGCAGGTTATTACCTACAAAGCCCTATATGGCTTGGGTCCTGCCTATTTACATGACCGCATCTCTCCTTGTGAACCTGCACAGACCTTAAGATCAGCTGGAGAGGTCCTCCTCTCGATCCCACCTCCCTCACAAATGAGGTTGGTGGGGACGACAGAGGGGGCCTTCTCGGTAGTGGCCCCCAACTCTGGAATGTTCTCTCCAAGAAAATAAGACAAACACCTACTCTTTTAACATTCAGGAAGGAGTTAAAAACCTGGCTATTGAAGCAAGTTTTTGATATTAGCTTGTGTTTCATTATTGGGCAGTGCTTGAATGACTTCTAGAACATAATGTTGGATATTCTGACAATAAGAACGAACGGAATTAAACGCTGTTTATATTTAAATTGATTTTGGATGGCAAATAGCTTTTACACCGTTATTTATTATTGTTTTTATTACTATGTAAATTTTAATTTTATGGGACCGCATCTCTTCCTATGAACCTGCACAGATCTTAAGATCAGCTGGAGAGGTCCCCCTCTCAATTCCATCTCCCTCACAAGTGAGGTTGGTGGGGATGACAAAGGGGGCCTTCTCAGTAGTAGCCCCCTGACTCTGGAATGCTCTCCCCAAGAAAATAAGGCAAGCGCCTACTCTTTTAACATTCAGGAAGGAGTTAAAAACCTGGGTATGCAAGCAAGCTTTTGATAATGGCTAGAGTTTAATTATTGGGCAGGACTTGAATGACTACTGGAACATATTGCTGGATATTCTGACAACAAAAACAGACTGGTTTAAACAACATTTATATTTAAATTGTTTTTAGATGGCAAATAGCTTTTAAGCTGTTATTTATTAATGTATTATTACTATATCATTTTAATTTTATGTAGTAATCATTTACTGTTGTTTTTGTTTATTATTATTAGCTTGGGGCTACAGTGCCCTAAATAATTATTTCCAGCTATATCTGGCCCTTGGCCCCAATTCATTCCCCACCATCCCAACTCCAGCCTGCACAGGTTCCCAAAGTCTTATCCAGCAGTTGGGACTCTCTGTGGACAAGATGCCTTACTCCTTCATTACTTTTAAGCAGAAGCTAAATAAATTGCCAACTCAACAGTAGCTGAAACTGTGATGGCATCATATTCATGTGAAACCCAGCCTTACTTATTTGTACCCTCCTTTTTGTTAAAATGGAGGTTGATAGTCCCATCTCCCCACCCCCTTCCCAACCTATAATATAATCACTGCAACCCTTTCTCCCATAGCTTTTTCCATGCCTGGTGACAGTGGGGAGGGGTCAGAGAAGCATTTAGGTGTGTCCCCATAGCCAGATGTGAAATAATTTCATTATCTATAGAGACCTCCAGAGGTTCTCAGTGGAATGTGTAATCATTTTGCATCTAACTATTAGGAGGTAACAAGACATGTCTCTGATTGTCCACCACTCACCAAGCAAATAATAGTTTTGTAGTGGAAGTTTCAGGACTTCTGTGGTAGATCCAGAAGTCAGCAAATGACCAGCTGTAGCTCTGTATGTGGAGCTGCTACAATATGTTGGATAATGCAGGATTGCAACCAGAACTTATTTCCTATAGCCAAAGTTGGTTTGATTGTATCAAGCAGGAATATGTTTCAACAAAGGGACTTACTCTTTTCCTCATTTCTTTTAGCTGCTCAAGGAGAAATTGTTAGACCTCCTTGGCCAGGAAGAGGAAGAAGGAAGCCACGATGAGAATGTGGTAAGTAAGAGCTGAGTTCTACTGCTGGGCTTTTCCAGGTTGAAATACAACTTGGAAAAGCTTATTCTGCCTGCAGCTCTAACCAGCATGGGAGTTATGGTCCAGAAATTATCTTGAAGTGCAGCAACTTCTTGCAGTTATTCCAATGATTAGGAGTGACCATTTGTACAAAACTCAAATCCTGTTCTTCTTTCTTTTAGTTTGACATTTACTAGGTAGATGCATTGCAAAAAGGCTCTGAGCCTGAGCACTGTGGAGCAAATGAGTTCTTATCACAATAATCAAAACAATCTTGTATCAATACCTCTTGGGGCTCAATTGAAGGCACCGTGAAATATCTTTCTAAAAGGAAGAAAGAGATGGAGTGTCTCAAAACAGTACTACTTTAAGCCCCCCAACCAACTTCTTTTGGGGATTTTTTAAATATTTTTCACTGATGCAAGAAATGTATTCTGTACATGTTCAGAGGCACCCTCACTTTTGTTTCCACTTCCTAGATGTAGTCCAAGTGAAACCCTGGCTGAAATTAATGTTAAATGAATGGAAAGGGGATCTTCACCCAATTGCTCAATAAACTACTGAGTCATCTCTTATAAAATTCATTTTCTGCTCTCAGTGTTTTTAGATTACAGGCAATAGAGCACAAATGGATAATTTCCTGATCTTTTGGAATGAAATTCAGAGGAGCAGTTTTAAAATAGCTCAATGAAAAGCTAAGCAAGGTTGAAAATGCAGCACCCAAGTTTTTGACTTGTGTGCAATTTGCAATAGCTTCCAACTCTTGTAGTACTTTGATACCACTTTAAGAACCATGGCTTACATATTTAAAAGAATGAGTTGCTTGCCTATAACTGTGTTTCTTCAAGTGGTGATCTGTGAAATTCGCACATAAGGGGTTTGCGCATTCGTGGTGCAATTAGGACCCTAAATGAAACATTTTGGCAGAGCCCTCGCCAACTCTCCCAATGGAGCATAAGTAGCCTTGGGCAGGGTTGAGCCTCAGTTCCTTTTTTCCGCCACTGAGGTTGCAGTTAGGAACCTCTTCTCTGTGTTGTACTTTGTGATTAGCTACATTCCTTTAACAGTTTTGACTCTGACTCCAACAGACTTGCTGCCTTCTTCCACCCTCGACCCTCAGACTGCAATAGACTTACTTTGATTCCTTCCCACCCCAACAACCCAGACCGGACAAAGCACAAGCTAGTTGCCATTATGGCCTCCGCTTCACTTCTTAGAAAGTGTTCCACTTGCGGGACCAGGCTCCCTGATGCGGATGGCCATACCAAATGCTTACTTTGCCTGGTGGCACAGTGTCTTAAACCCTTAGGCCAGCAGGACGGAGGTTCAAATCCGGGGAGAGTGCGGATGAGCCCCCTCTGTCAGCTCCAACTCCTCATGCAGGGACATGACAGAAACCTCCTACAAGGATGGTAAAACATCAAAAAAATATCTAGGGATCCCCTGGGAAACGTCCATGCAGATGGACAATTCTCTCACACCAGAAGCATCTTGCAGTTTCTCAAGTCGCTCCTGGTGCAGAAGAAAAAAACAGAATGTTGCCTTTATGAACCTGATGTTGCCTTTATGGATCTGATGGGATGTGTAAAACTTTGTTTACCTCATGTTCATCCAGTTGGGGATTAGAGGTGGCAGGAGGCTGAAAGAAAGTGGAAAAAAACTAGTAGGAATTTCTAGTTCTAGTTTTTTTTTAGTTGAACTAAAAATAAGAAATAGCTGCATCCATCATGTGGCGTCAAAGGCGGAATAGCTGTTAGCCAGAGAAAAATGAAGATAGATGAGATTAGCCTTGCCCAGCCAGATGCTTTCCAAGTATGATGGACTGCCACACCCATCATCCCCAGCTGCTATAGATTCTGAATTTCTCCCCAGTACCTTCAGTACCAACTGAGGATTTAATGTGAAGATCACAAATAGAAACATTTTATAAACATCTTTGAGCAGTTTAACTTCAGTAAAAAGTCAGGCTTGCAGGTATCCCCCAGATCTTAATTTTTATAGTTTGTTTTATTTCTAGATAGTCTGAGGAAACGGGTACCACTCCTCATGCAAGCAATCCTCCTGACAGACATTTTAATAACTAGTATATATAGCACAAGAAAGGGAAATAAGGTAAAGGTAAAGGTTTACCCTGACATTAAGTCTAGTTGTGTCCAATTCTGGGACTAAAGAGCCAGCGTTGTCCATAGATGCCTCCAAGGCCATGTGACTGGCATGACTGCATGGGGCGCCGTTACCTTTCCACTATTGATCTACTCACATTTGCATGTTTTCGAACTGCTAGGTTGGCAGAAGCTGGGGCTAACAGTGGGAGCTCACCCCACTCCCCGGATTTCATCCACCAATCTTTCGGCCAGGCCCAGCGGTTTGAACTGCAATATTGAACTACATATTGAATTACAAGTACAATATTGTACAAGTACAATATTGAACTACAAGTTCCATAAATCTCACCATGTACCATACTGGTTCCCAAGAGAGGTACCACAAATGTTATGGCACATTTTAACAGGGCCGGATCATTTCTGAATACAGTCTTTGAGCAATATCTAGAAGGTAAGCCAGTATTGTTATGTACTGAGACTCCCACCGGGCACCCAGGCAGCCTTCGTCCGGGCAGAGGTTGGTCTCCCCTCCATTAGATCGCGTGTTCATTTTACCCTATTTAATTATTGGAGAAATGTAAAAGACTCCTCAGTTAGGGTTCTTCCCAAGGGATGTTTTGAACAGCTAGCAAAATTCAAAGTCTGGAATACTAGATACCAGAAGCTGCTGGAATTTCACCCCACTCTGTCTGATAAGCCTTCTATCTTGAACTCAAGGGAGAAACTCCAGGAATATATTTTTAATAATTGTGCCCACCATGATAGGCAGGCCATTAACAACTCCAAATTCTCCCACTGGTTTAGACTGTACAAACTTGACCATGATAGGGCTATCTACCTGACTAGGCTCACATTTCCAAAACTTAGACAAGCCTTCACTGCCCTTCGTTTTCAAAGTATGCCCACAGCAGTGATTGATGGCAGATATACGGGCACCCCTCTGGCTCTTCGTTTATGTGTTTGCGGGGCCCCGGAAATTGAGGATCTGCCTCACTATTTGCTTTTCTGCCCTTTGTATTCTGATCCAAGAACCAAAATCCTGGGTTTATTCTTCACCTCCTTCAGACCAACACTGTGTCCGAAAAGATTTTCTATCTCTTGGCTGACACCAACCCCGTGGCTACTCACAAGGTGTCTCGTTTTGCCCTGGCAGCACAGAAAATCCAGGCAAAACTAATCTCTGATATTGCAGTTGACTGTGCTGGGGATGCTTTCAACTAATAGTGGGTGTTTATGTAGTTTTAATAATGCTGTATCTATTTGCTTTTACTTGGTTTTTAATTACGCAGGTATGAGTCTATACATCAGTGCTTCTCAACCTCCCTAATGCTGCGACTCCTTAATACAGTTCCTCATGCTGTGGTGACCCCCAACCATAAAATTATTTTTGTTGCTACTGGTGGGGTTGGGGGGACAGTGCAGGATTGATTTTGACATTTGGGATTTATAGTTCACCTACAATCAAAGAGCATTCTGAACTCTACCAGTGATGGAATTGAACCAAACCTGGCACACAGAACTCTCATGACCAACAGAAAATACTGGAAGGGTTTGGTGGGCATTGTCCTTGAGTTTGGGAATTGTAGTTCACCTACATCCAGAGAGCACTGTGGACTCAAACAATGATGGATCTGGACCAAACTATGACCACATGTCAACACTGGTGAAATTTGGGGAAAATAGACTTGACATGTTGGAGTTGGAGTTGCTGGGATTTATAGTTCACCTACAATCAAAGAGCATTCTGAACTCCAGTAACAATGGAATTGAACCAAACTTGGCACACTGAGCTCCCATGCCCAACAGAAAATACTGGAAGGGTTTAGTGGACATTGACCTGGAGTTTGGGAGTTGTAGTTCACCTACTTCCAGAGAGCACTGTGGACTCAAGCAGTGATGGATCTGGACCAAATTTGGCACAAACTCAATATGCCCAAATGTGAACACTGGTGGAGTTTGGGGGAAAATAGACCTTGACATTTGGGACTTGTAGTGCTGGGATTTATAGTTCACCTACAATCGAAGAGCACTCTGAACCCCACCAATGGTAGAATTGGGCCAGACTTCCCACACAGAGACCCCCATGACCAACAGAAAATACTGTGTTTTCTGATGGTCTTCTGCGACCCCTCTGACACCCCCTCGCGACCCCCCCCAGGGGTCCCGACCCCCAGGTTGAGAAACACTGCTATACATTATGTAGTATTTTAAAGGTGCATCTTGCCAGTCGATATATGTAGCATTTTAATGATTTATAGGATTTTATTGTGTATTTTATATTGCATTTAATAATCTGGTGTTCATGTATTTATTTATTTGCCTTGCCTTGTATGTGAAAGAGCTATGGTCTAAGCATTGAATAAACTACAGTATTGTTATGCCCGTATCGCAGATTTGAGAGCTCAGCCTTAAAGAATGGTTGCCTAGATCATCCAGTGAGTACATGGCTGAGGTGACATATTCTTTTGCAGCAACTAATTTCTACCATCTTTTCTCTATCAATCTTTTGGCAGAGCACCTGCGAGCCCTTGCCCAACCACTCTGATCCCATCAGCCACACTGTGACAGTCCCCCTGCAGACCACACTTGGCACGCTGGAAGAGATTGCCTGCTGACAGCACTCTCTGGGCATGACTACAGAAGGACGGACAGCAGAAACTGTATCCCCAGAAGCCAGGGAATCGGTGCCCTGGTTCCCCGCCATGGGGTGGAGGGAATAGCTGAGGAATCCGCTATGCATCCAACTCGTTCTCTCTCTTCTTGCCAGAAAACAGCAAGAGATGCCAGGGACTTGCCCCACCCTGTCTGTGAAGGGGTGGCAGGGGTGGGAGGAGGAGGAGAAGGAGGAGGAGGGTGGGGGGCACCTCCAGCAGCAGAGGCCGGGTTTTTGAACTGTACAAATCCAACGACCAAGGAACCATCATTTCACATAGACTGCCAACGACTGTACAAAAGACTCCTGCATGCCAGTCCTTTTGATGGCAATATCTCCCTCTCTCTTTTTTCTTTACAAGCCTGTCTCTTGTCTTAATTGCTGTTTCCTTTGTTTTTCACAACAGAAGAGGAGGCCATGACACTCGTGTCCCTCCCCACATCCCCGAAACAGAAAGTTCACTGTAATGTGATAACACCATGGGCTGAATTGGAAACAAACCAAGGTCTGGCTTCCAGGTGTCCATTACTTTTTGTCTTTGTCTAAATATGTGACCGGGTCTCTGAGCTTTTGCAAGGCCCATTCACCTGGGCAGCCGAGACGAGCAATGGTCAAACAAAATGGCTCACCTTGTTTACTGCCATAGAACCTCCCCCCCACCATTACCCCCCTCCTGTATGCACAAGCACCCACAAACACACCAGCCCCCTTGGCACTCATCAGCCACAGCTACTGTCTTGTTAAGATTGGCGTGTCATGCCGTGTCAGGACTGGGGTCCCGCGGGGAGGCTGGGTTCAAGGGCCATTTTGACCTACCCTGCTTCCTCATTCTTAACAGTGCGATTAAAGGTGGTCTTGTGGAAGGGGATCAATTTGTGTCATGTCTTGTTATTTCCACCTTCATGGGCCAGGGCTGGGGATCTGTTTCAGGAGTGCACACTTTAAACATATGTGATTGAAGGGAGATGTTGATAAGCTGGAATGTGTTCAGAGCAGGGCGACTAAAATGATCAAGGGTCTAGAGAACAAGCCCTATGAGGAGTGGCTTAAAGAGCTGGGCATGTTTAGCCTGAATAAGAGAAGGCTGAGAGGAGACATGATAAGTATGTGAGAGGAAATCACAGGGAGGAGGGAGCAAGCTTGTTTTCTGCTGGAGACTAGGACGCGGAACAATGGCTTCAAACTACAAGAAAGGAGATTCCACCTGAACATTAGGAAGAACTTCCTGACTGTGAGAGCTGTTCAGCAGTGGAACTCTCTGCCCCGGAATGTGGTGGAGGCTCCTTCTTTGGAAGCTTTTAAACAGAGGCTGGATGGCCATCTGTTGGGGGTGATTTGAATGCAATTTTCCTACTTCTTGGCAGGGGGTTGGATGGGATGGCCCACAAGGTCTCTTCCAATTCTATGATTAACAATAATGCTGGCCTTTCCACTAAGCAGTATGGATAGACAGTTGCCTCTGGCAGTGATATGTCTACCACCAGCATCCACTTCCTGAAGCCTCTTGCTCTTTTACTGTCACGGAGGAGAGAGTGGCATATGTCATACCACCTGCCCTGCTTTATCAACTGGCTTGCCTTACAGATAGATAGTTAGAGACGCTTTTCATTTGCCACTGGTGAAATAAGTTAGAGCTGGCTGTGTAGTGTGCTTCTGCATGGTACCATCTTGTTCTTCATTTCCAGAAACATTAAAAAAAAAAGATAAAGGCCTCCCTTTTACTGCTGTTTTAACACCACTCTCTTAATTTTTTTATTTCTTTTCATCAATTGGCTTTTAGAGCGAGCAGCCCTGTACTCAAACACAGCCACACAGCCTATACTCAAACACACGCTATCTGTTATACTGCCCTTTGTTATATTGCCACCTCTCCACAAAAGTCAACATTGACACCGAAATACAACACCACCTGAGCTCTGCGAGTGCAGATTTTTTCCGAATTAAGCAGAGAGTGTTTGAGGACCAGGACATCCATAGGGATACTAAGGTGCTTGTTTATAAAGCTATTGTCCTCCCAACCCTGCTATACGCCTGCAAGGCATGGACAGTCTGCAGATGTCACATGCAACTCCTGGAACGAATTCATCAGCGCTGCCTCCGAAAAATCCTGCAAATCTCTTGAGAAGACAAGCGGATAAATGTTTGCGTGCTGGAAGAAGCAAAGACCACCAGCACTGAAGCGATGGTCCTCTGCCATCAACTCAGCTGGACCGGCCACATTGTCCGGATGCCCGATCATCATCTTCCAAAGCAGTTGCTCTATTCCGAACTCAAGAATGGAAAACAGAATGTTGGAGGACAGGAAAAGAGATTAAAGATGGGCTCAAAGCCAACCTTAAAAACTCTGGCATAGACACTGAGAACTGGGAAGCCCTGGCCCACTCCAACTGGAGGTCAGCTGTGACCAGCAGTGCTGCAGAATTTGAAGAGGCACGAATGGAGGGCGAAAGAGAGAAATGTGTCAAGAGGGAGACACATCAAGCCAAACCTGACTGGGAGCATCTTCCACCTGGAAACCAATATCCTCACTGTGGGAGAACATGCAGGTCAAGAATAGGGCTTCACAGTCACCTACGGACCCACCGCCAGTACACCGATCTTGGAAGACAATCCTACTTGGATAATATGGGGTCACCTAAGTAAGTAAGTATTAGACCTACTTTTAATAGTCACTTTCAAACAACAAGAAACATCTTGCATCCAGCAATTCCTATGAAGAGTCTTCTGCAATTATTATGCACCATTTTTCTTTCAAAGTTTTTTTTTTAAGTTGGGTGTAATTTGTTATGACCAGCAGGACAACTTTGATCTCATTCTAGAGTTATGGTGCTGTAGTCCATTTCACTGATGTGCTTGTACCACTGAAAAAAGAATGATAAAGATAAAGAGTGATAAAGGAGTAAAGGTGCCTTTTTTTTCTTTAAACAAGAATGGGTCAAAAAGTTTTGCCTCCTGGGTCATAAAAACGTTGTGAATGAAGCTATAACAGCAGAAGTTGCTACAGATCATAGCCTGTAGTGTCCTCTACACAATACTACAGTTCAACATCATCACCATCCATTTGTACACGTCTGCGCCATCGTTTAACCTGGGCATCAAAACCATTTTGGAAAAATTCAGGGTTTTGCTTCGTGACCATGATTTTAAAGCTGTTTTAAAGCTGTCATTGAATCTGAAACCATGTAGGTGGTCTTTCAGAGGTCCAAAAAGACAACCTACATAATTTCAGATTCAGTGACGAATAACGTTAAAACAGCTTTAAAATCACAAGTCACAAAGCAAGACCCCGAATTTTTCCAAAATAGTTTTGATGCCTGGGTTAAGCAATGGCTAAAATGTGTACAAATTGTTGGTGACTATGTTGAATGGTAGTTTTGCATAGAGGATAGTTCAGGCTATGATCTGTAGTGACTTTTGCTGTGATGTGTTCATTCGTAACCTTTTTATGACACTGGAGGCATTACTTTTTGACCCACCCTCGTATATCTCAGAATGAAAAAGAAATTATCTCAAGAGTGGGAATAAAATGTTGTAGCTGGTACTAGAAATGAGACACAGAAATATAAATTGGACCATTTTAAAAAAATTATGGAACTGCAACAACAAATCCTGCAGTCTCCCAACACATTTGCCCCATCTGAAGGACACCCCTCTTGGGGTGGGGGTGTGATATCTAAATATTGTATCAGCCCATGTAGATTTTATTAAAATTCAGTGATATTATATGGAGCCCCCAGTGGCGCAATAGGTTAAACTCATTTGCCAACAGGACTGCTGACCAAAAGATGGTGGTTTGAATCCAGGGAGTGGGGTGAGCTCCCATCTGTCAGCTCCAGCTTCTCATGCGAGGACATAACAGAGCCTTCCACAGTAAAAAAATCACTGTGTCCCCTGGGCCAATTCTGATGGCCAATTCTCTCACACCAGAAGCGACTTGCAGTTTCTCAAGTCATTCCTGACGCAAAAAAGTGACATTATATTTAACAACAGACTATTTTTCCCATGTCGAGACACCAGATTGGTTATATGGAGCCATGAGATTTTTCTTCATGGATTTGTTTTTAATGAGCATTTCAGTCTGATGTCTGCAGACAAAATGGAATAAAAAGCTGATGAAAATGGTACCCAGTGTCATACCAATTATTTATGTTCCTGCTACTGCCCTGGCCAAAAGAATTAACATAAAAACCTTCCAGAAGCTTGACTTTCAGTAAGAAAATCAGCGACTAGAGAATATCCGCTAATACCCTTAGCTTTTTCTTTGCTTCTCTTTTACGTCATTCAGAATAGAAGGTACAGACAGAATAGAAGCAATTTATTCCTTGTTAAAGCTATAAAGCCCATTGTGTTGATGCATAATTATGGTACCAGGTGTATGGGCATATTGTAAAAGCCTGATTCCCTTTCCAGAGAAAAGAGCTCAATCGAATTTTGAAAAATAAAAATAAAGGTGTTTTAAGGAGAGGTTGAAATAGGCAACTGCAGTATTTACACTTCAGCAAGTATAGGAGTCGCGGTGGTGCAATAGGTTAAGCCCTTGTGCCAGCTGAACTGCTGACCTGAAGGTCGGCAGTTCGAATCTGCGAGAAGGGGTGAGTTCCCATCTGTCAGCTCCAGCTTTCCATGCAGGGAAATGAGAGAAGCCTCCCACAGTCTTTGTAGACGACTGATTTTCTCACACCAGAAGTGATTCCAATTCGCCTCTGACTTGATTAAAATAGACTTGAACAAGTAGACAACTAAGAAAGAGTGAATGTTGTAAGGCCCTATATCCATTTAATGTATCCTTCATGGATATGGAGGTCATACAGTATATAAGTTTGGTTTATTGGGTTTCCTGTCCCTCCTCAGTACATTAAATAATTCTTGAGATGGACAGAAAACCCCATAAACCAAACCTATATATGGCATGACCCCCATATCCATGAAGGATACATTTGATGGTTCCCCGTCTATTCCTGAAACTGTGATAACAGTGAATCTTATATTTTCTGGACTGGCCTGGTTTGACAATATCAAAAAAGTGAGATGGGGGGGGGGCGGTATTACTTATTTGGAATCCTTGCCCCCAAACTCATCCAGGTATATGAGGTCTTTTAACTGACGAGATTAGACTGGAAAAGGAAGACTAATTTCCCAGTCAAACTGGGTGCTTTTTTTAAAGGGAACAATCCCCAAACCTTCCTTTCTTTGCCTTCTTAATAATGTCTCATATGTAAGCATTGCCCCCTAAAGGAATTAATGTTTGTTGCAACAAGATCTTATCTACATTTATTCTATAGTTGGAAGCATACTCATTGATCGCCTGTGTCCTCCTGTGTCACTTATCACCGTAATTCCCTGGCACTTTTCATGATTCATCAGATAGCTTAAGACATACCACATGAGGTCATGGCTAAGAATCATGTAATCCAAGCATCACAAACCAATTTTGTCATTTTTTTTTTTTGCCCCTCACTCCACCCCCAATTATTTATTTACAGTATTTATATTCTTCCCTTCTCACCCCACAGAGGACTCAGGGCGGATTACAATGTACATATACATGGCAAACATTCAATGCCATAGACACACAACATATATAGACAGATACACAGACGCTATTTAACATTCCAGCTTTTTCATGAGGGTATTCTGGCCACCAGGGGAGCTGTCGCTTCGCTGTCCATTTGTGACACTGATTAAGTACTTCCTCATTCTTTGCATGCTTGCTGGAGATTTTTATGCCATCGTAAATTAGCCTCCCTGCATAAGGGGTACCTAAATTTCCTACTTGACAGATGCAACTGTCTTTTGGGCTGCAAAGGTCGACAGCAAGCTACACAAATTGGTCAGAAGCTCACTCCGATCCAGGTTGGCTTTGAACTC